TTTCAGATTTATGTGAACATATGTATGTATGTACATATATATAGGTATTTATGTATGTATGTACATATAAGAATAAAACATAGAAAACTAATACGTAAATTAATATTCACTTTTAATTATACCAATAATTCATATTTTTTTTTAAGATTAAATTTAGTCTATTATTTTATTTACATATATTTTCATATATAAATATGTATGTTATTAAATACATACATATGTACAAATGTATTCTTATACATATTTACACATAAGCCTCAAAGAGCAAACAAGTTTCAAATACCCACCCGAAAAAAAATGATTTTAATATACGACAAAAGTTATTTAGTGTCGGTATTAATTTTATTATAAACTCATAAATCTACGTAAATACATTCATAAATACATTCGTTTACATTGTATGTACATATGTATATACATTTGTTTCATATTGTATGTACATATGTATGTACAAATAAAAATTTATTGTTCCAAATGAAACCATTTATGTATGTTATTTTAAATATTCCTTCATCGACAAGCAAGTTATACATACATATGTATATGTATAATGTATGTATATACATAGCAAATAACATTCAAATTTTTGAAAAAAAAAAATTTCAAATAAAATTTTAAGAAAAAGAATCTAATATGGATCTTATCTTTCTTCAAAAATATTTTTATCTAAAAGGCAATAAAAGAAGTTCAAAAATCCTATTACATTGGACCGTAAAATCTTTTATAACAATTTACATGTATAAATGTACATACATATGAACAATATGATTCTGTGAAAGCAAAAAATAGGATTTAGACTCCGAAAACTGTCAAAATATAAGCATATGTGTGTATGGATGTACATATACATACATACATGAGTGTACTACATGCGTATAATTATTTAATACGTCATGATATTGACAATGAAGATTATTTGAAAATAATTTGGAATTTAAATCGTAAACATTATTTACAAACATATTATTTACATATATACATATGTATTTAAACATGTATAGTATGTATTACAGAGTTCTCGTACTACGTGTTTTTGTTAAATATTTTTAATATATGTATGTAGGTTTATGCGTAAGGAAAATGGAGTTCTTTTATTTGCATATGTAAAATATTTTAAACCCACTGATAATGTTCGGTTGAATCTGATGTAATTTTTATCCCAAGTTACGTTTATCTTCTACATTTTATCTAAAAAAAAAATTTACGATAAAGCAAAAAGATGATAAAATTTGAAATTTTTAATTAAATGAATCATTTTCATGCTATATAATATACATACATATGTATATACACATACACAACATGCTTACTCTTGTATTCATATTTAAAATACACAATATACACGTGTAGTAGATTTCAATAAAAATAAATATGTAATAATAACCTAACCTAACAAAAAATCATAACAAGAAATTAATAGAAGAATCAAAAACAATAAAAAGGCTACCAGACAAATATACGATATTCAAAACTTATGTATACTTTATAGTGACGTCACCTAAGAAAAAAGTACAGTTCTGATAAAATTAATACAGTGATGTTTTGTTTAACGTTAAAGATACGTTCTTAAAAATAACGGCATTCATTGAAATAGTTATAAAAACTAAACTCTAAACATTTTCAACAACAGGGTCTACTAGGCAAAGAATTCTTAAAAGAAAAAGATTAACCAGGGTTGCCCTTTAAAATTTTTGTTCTAAAAAATCTCATTTTCTAAAATAAAATCAGATTTCTTAAAAATAATTTACAAAATAAACGTAAAATGTATAGTATACCTGTTCAGATATTTTATTGATATATATACATACATACATACATAGATGAAAACAAATTATTTTATTTTTGATTTTCATGGTTTTGCACAGATTTGTGGTTGTGGTTGTATAAATAAGAAAAAATACCGTATTTTTTCTAATGTGTTGTGTTGGAAAAAATAATTCACATTGCTATGACGACAAAACTTTTTTTCTCTTATTTTAAAAAGAGTATTATACTATTGTATTACAGAAATAGATCCGTTATATCAAACTTTAATAATTTGTTTTAGTAGTTTTGGAAAGTAAGCATGCTTGTAAGTATGTAATGTAAATGTAATACACCATCCGTTGCGTTTGCAAAGGGTTTACCAATAAAATACTCTAAACACATGCATGTGTATAACATTGTAAATGCATAGCTCCCGAAATAAAAAAACCTGCTTATACACATGTGCATACAAACATATATTATGAAGGAGTAGTTGAAAGGAAAAGTTATATAAATTTATCCGAGTAGATTCAAATGAGAAATAAACGCCGAATTTTTAAAAATTAAAGATTATTTTGTTTACTCCAATATAACAGGAGATATAATAATATGGCTTATAATGAGTATGTGATAAATTTGCATATGTATGTACATACATAGCATTGTTATACAACAATGACAAAACTGAAAATTTTTATGAGAAAATTGAGACACATTGAAATTTTCATATCGTAAAAGTTATTAAGAATTTTTTACTTGTTTTTATTAATGACTTTAAATTCTTACGCACATTATTTATACGTGTATGTATGTATCCCTGAGTACTCGTTTCCCTATACATATATGTAAGTATATACGGCAAGGTTGTTTTATTCACTCACACGTGTTTATTGAGTAAAGAGTTATGTACATATAGGTTTGTATGTACATATTCACATAATTTGCTAATTGTTTTATAAATTTTTGCATTGTACATTTTTTAAAATGATGATGTTCTCATTCATTTCATTTGTAGTAGGTACAATAAAACTATCACTTGTTTTAAGTTCAGAATGCACATATCTATATACAGATTTTATATGCATACAAGGCCTATACAACTTTTTACACCGCAAATTTTATTTCACAGATTTTAATTTAAAAGTTTGCATGTGATTTTTTACTTTTAAGTCACATGCAAAAAATTTCCCTGACATTTTTCTTTATTAAATTTCGATTTTATTAATTTCTAACAGTATGCATGTACTAATATCTGTATAATGCAATCATAAATCCATACGTATGTAAATACAGAAATGTGTATGTATTAAAATCTAGGTTATGTATTCACATGTCTGCAAATATACGAACTCAAATATACATACCTGCTATAAATATCAACAAGTAGTTTATTTAGTGCAAATTTATTTTGATAAATTTTTAAGACCTTGATCATCGATTTTCGCAATATTTAAATTGTAATAAACCCACTTATTATTAAGCTTGTATTTAAAGTAATACACAATATATATATATATTTGTTTATGTAAATGTAAGTATGTACATATTTATAACACAATTAAGCAAAAAACTTATAAGTTAACATCAACACCAAATTTAATTTTATTTGATTTTTATTTTTTAAATTTTTAATAAATGAATAACGTTTTACATTTTAACACCAGAAATTAACATTACAAACGAAAAAATTGTATCTTTAAACAAAAAAGGATTTTGAACTGCAGCAAAATGAGTTTACTGCATATCCCTTTTTGTTATTTTACGGTAGAATTTTGTTTTTTTCTTATATACTTTACGATAAAACTCTTTTGAATATATTGTATAATTTTTACGATAAAAAAAAATAACACTTGTTCAATGTTGTAATTAAACTTTTTTTCGTAGAAGATATTAATCATACTCTCGCCAGAGGAGAAATGAGACTAATCTAATTTTTAATTTTATGTTTATCATCAACAATTCAACATAACATTTCAGTATACATACATATTCCGTTTAGACATTATCATAGTTTATTACATTTAAATAATTTTCATATAGAAAGTTATGCTTATCTTATGCTTTATTGTTATAAAAGGAAAATTATTGAATTTTTCTCTATTTCTTGAAAATTAAAAAAACTTATGTTAACAGCATACTTGCTAAAATTTTAGAAAAAAATAAATGAAAAATTTGTAAAAACGAATAAGAACGACAGCTAGCAATTACATTAAAAAAAATAGAACGAGCTCTATTGACTATAATCTAAATTAAAATTTTCACCACAACTGCATTGTATAATACTATGTAATTGTGGTGAAAATTTACTTAAATTTTTATTTTGTTTTATCCTTTCTCTATTGGGGAAAAGCGAAAATTCCTTAAATTAAGTACTATAACTATTTTATATTGGCCAACAGATGGAATAGACGTGGAAATTCGAATAAAATATAAAAATTACAAAATCCATTTATATCGAAAATCGTATTATTTTTTCTTCTACATGGTTGACACGCACACTTGAAAATTATTTTTAACAAAAATTATTGAAACGAAAGAAAAATAATAACTCAAACAATAATGTCTTACGTAAACACATAAATGGTGCATTTCGTACTTACTTGCGAATTAAACAAGATAGTAGCATCAATTATGATTTACTATTTAATATTCTTACTAACAGGCCGATCGTGTAACTCGCCTTTTTACTCACTTTTAGATCAGAATTCTCTGTATTTTTTAATTGATGTTTCACTCCTCCAATACAGATTGCTCATTTTCTTAATTGGATTTTTGCAAATTATCAACTGAACTTCTTACTTTCAAAAACAAGGTGAATAAATTTTGTATGCACGTTATAAAAAAACGAGATACGCAATACCAAATAATTCTTCGCACTTGAAAATTACATTATACAAGTATAATCATACTTACTCACTTTCTTCTCACTTTCCGAGTAAAATAGCGAGATAGACAAACAAGCCCTATACATTGCTAATAGAAAATTGTATTAGTATAGAATTTTATACAAATTTATTGATTAAATATTTCGATGTTCTGTAATAAAAACGCTTTTAACTTTAAAAAAACCAAGACATTTAAAAACTCAAATTTAGTTCGTTCAATGTAGTAAAATAATACTGAAAAGTATGTTGGAAAGTTGAGATTCGTATTTTTAGAAATACAAATACTTCTGAACACTAAACATATTATGACAATGACATTTTATATTATTTGTAAACAAACTTATCAAAACACAATATTGTATTCTATTCCGCTATTCTGGTCAGAGAATACGAAGCAGAAGTTCCAGTTATGTTGATTTGGCAAAGTTCAAAATAAAAGATAAATCAGAAGTAAATTTCTACTAGAAAACGTGGTGCATCTATAAATTTCTGTAAGTACATACATACATACATATACTTTTAATTATGCCTTAAATTTTCAATAACATTATAATTTTTTATTTTGGCACTACACTTAGTAACGCTCGTATCAAATACGACATTAAAGCAGGCTGTTAAAATAAAAAAAAAATTAAAAGACAGCAATATACATGTTTTTTTTTAGTCTTAATTTTTGTAATTTAATTGTGTAGTATCTAGAGCTACCTAATTAAGATCAATAAAAAATATTTCATTACTGAATATTAAAAAGTAAAGCAATTATATTATTTCAATTATTAAATATGAATTACAACAAAAGTACATATTAATGATTCCCTTTATAATTCTAGGTTAATTTTCACTGGTTTTTATAAGCTTGATTGCCTGTTTGTAGCGAGATGAAGCAAGAAAATTGTTCTTCCACGAAGCCTTCTTCAATTAAACCAAAAAATGGTCGAGTACGAAGAAGACCCCGTCATAATAAAGCAATTCTTAAGAATGTAGATCAAAAAATATATAATTCTTTAATAGATATGGGATTTGACAATAACCAAGCTACTCAAATGTGTAAAAAACTGAGTGAGTCGCAAGCAAAGAAAAACTTTCAAAGAAAGGAAGAAAACACTAAAAATTTTTCGAACGCAGACCCGAAAATCAAAAGTCCATTACCAGAGGTAAAAATAGAAAAGATTCCAATTGAACAAACTGTATTTAGTAAGATAGACGGGCCTGTTATTGTTAACATTGCTGAAACAAATTATCCCGATGTGTTCCTTAGCTTGCAACAGAAATCAATAATTCAAAATGAAATAATGGAAACTTTATTAGAACAAGAAGATAAAGATGTTAAACCACAATTTAGAGGTTGTTCAAATAAACCTGGTTGGCTGTCTATAACTTGCGGGAATCAAGAAACAGCAATATGGTTGATTAATAAAATACCTGAAATAAGTAGAAACACAAAAATTAATCTTAAAGAATTAAAGGAGACTTTAAATCCTGAATTAGTGATTGTATATTTTCCACAAAGTTTAGGGGAATCTACCAGCAAAATCCTAAGACGTATTTCGGCACAAAATTTTGATCTTATGATATCTAGTTGGAAAATACTAAAAAGAAAAACTGTTAGTAATATGGTTCAACTTACTATTCTTGTAGATGCAGAATCTATTAAAAAACTTAAGGAAATCAATTACAGACTTAATTGGCGTTTTGGATATGTATATGTTCGTGTTCTAAATAAAATGAAAAAACACCTTCAAACAATTTTTGTCAGAACTACGGAGAAAGGAAATAGCTCATTCCTTAATCCTTTTAAAATTGAACCAGACAAATGTACACTGAACTTTAATGAAGATAATCATAATAAAAAAATTGAACAAAGTAAAGCTTGCGTTAACGAAGTAGAATGCCCAAAGGGTCCAATTGATTTTATATTTAAATGAAATTAAGTTCATTATTAAAACTTTGATTTATTAAAATGTTGAAAAAATTAATAAAGACTTGAAATTTTGAAATTTTTAAACGGATTTTGAAATATTACTTTAAAAATTCTTACAGTTTTTCTTATTCTTACATTAAAAATGATTGCGAATGAGGGATTTCGTAAAAAAATTTAGCATGCGTTATCAAATTTCAATTCACAATTTTTATTTTTAAGAATACAAAAATCTAAAAAAAAATTTTGGAATTTTTCTTTTGCAAATCTACTCTATTATTTTTAATAGTAAACGAGAACACTATCGCACAGCTGTTAACTATCAACATGACATTTCAACAATATAATATGTTTTTTAATAAATCACCTGGGTTTGGTTTTTAAAATTCTTTATCTCTTTCTTTCAATAATAAAACTCATACTTTCATTGAAATGAATCATCAATAGTTCTTTTTGCATACAAAATTTAAATGAGAAAAAGAGATAGCGTTATAATTTTGAAGAAATAAAAACAAAATCTGCAGAAATTTTTTGTTGACAGACAAATTTTTGTTTTTGCAAAGTGCGGTTCATATATCGGATGTTTTTATTTTAATTTTAAAGTAGTCCTGTGCAAAATTTTAATCTCCTCGGTATAAGGATTCTGGCATGTATATGTCATAAATTTTAAATTTTCACATATTCCTGACTTAAGAATTTGCTATTAGTGAAATTAGTGAAATGAAAATGTTGTTAAATTGAAAATTGAATACAAATTTTATAACCTTGAAATCTACGTTTTTTCTTTTGTTTTGTTAAATTATCGGTCCAGTACATTTCGGTCAATATTTAAAAAAAAAAATAATTACAAGAAATTGTATCATTTACACTTTGAAAGTGTATATAAAAATCATTATTTTTAAAGGTTCATTTCTATTGGTAAAGTAGAAATAACCAAAAAAAGGATTATTTTGTGTGTTTTGAACAACAAAAACAATAAAAAAGAAAATCTATGCCAGGCTTCCATTTAAATGAAATTGGCGAAATGGTTTTAGATGAGGTTGATGATGTTGGTGTGGTTGATGTTTATGATTTAGCATCGGATATTGGTAAAGAATGTGAAAAAATTATTGACCATTTTGGTCCTGAAGCAGTAACTGGTCTAATGCCACGGGTTATAAATGCATTAGAATTATTGGAAGCACTTGCAACTAAAAATGAAAAAGAAAATGCTACTATACAGGAACTTACTGATCGGATAACTCAATTAGAAAGTGAAAAATTGGAAAAGGCTGAATTTCGAAAGAGATTTGAAAAGGTAAGTTATATATCTTTTAATACTTAAATTAAATTACATTAAGTATTTTGCATTTTTTTTTTAGTTAAACATTTACAATAAACATATTAGAAGAAATATACTTGCTTACATACTTACATGTATCTACATTATGTATACTTAATATAGTTTCTTTATATATGAAAATTTAAATTGGAAAATATACATATACTACTACTACTACTTACCCTCTTATATCTACCCATTCACTAAGGAAATCTCGATTTAAATTTTACTTTTATTAAAATTAAAAATATCTTTTGAGCTTTAAATTTGCAAAAGTAATTGTCAAAAAAAAAAACTTTTTAATGTTGTAACTATTTAATTAAAATGAATCAACTGTTGAGAATCAGATGATGTCATTATTATTGAGAGTTAATTAATTTAAAAGCTTTAAAAACAAAATAATAGCTAGGTATAAATATTTTAAATTTGTACTAATGTAATTCATATCCATTGTTTTTCTAACTATCGTAATAACAAGCTTTTAATTATGAGTATAAAATAAGTAGATCTTGATAAGTTCTACAATTTTGTATTTTGAAACATACAAATTATGTAGAAGAATAATAACATTTTAAATTTGTATATTTAAATATGAATATTTATTATTACATATGTCATAATATTTTCTTTGTCAATATAATGTAATACATATATCTTTATTATACTTATGCATATAGAAATAGAAATATCTTCAAAACATAATATTAATGCTTGCTCATCCATACACAGAGTTTTTACTTATAATTATCTCAAGCGATTGAACACCGTTTATTTTATAAACTTTTTTAATAATAACATATGAAAATAATCATATACTTACTTATTCCCGTAATATAAAATTTTTCAAATAGTATTGTTATACTTACATATTTAATTCACAAATAGAGTGTGGCCTATGTATGAAATGAATGGCATACAATTGTTTTATATACTGTACTTATAATTAACAATTTTAATTTTAATATTATATAATAACAACAAATTTGTTAGTAAATTAATTCAATAATTCGCACAATTATTATGAAAAATTATAAGTAGTAAGCTTCCTATAAATTTATTCATATGTACATATATATTTGTAAATTAAAATAGCTCCTTAGAACGAAATTTCTAAATTTAAAACTCCTTTAAAAAAGAAATTGGATTTTCTTAAAAATTTAAGAACGACAAATACATACATACATAGGAATTGGTAGATAAAAGTACCATACTTTATTTTATTTCCTTTTCTGTTTAAATTCCTTTTGTATTTTAGAAAAAGGATATTTTATGATTTTTCATATATTTTTATATGATATGTTTTCTATGGCTCCAGTATAAGAAATATAATTCTTCTCTATCTATTCGGTATATAAATCACAATTTTTTTTTGTAATTTAGCATTATACTTACTCGTTAGTCTACAGACATGTTTTTTTAATTTGTTCGTATGCCATGATACAATTAAAAACTTTTATTCTTTGGTTAGATTAAATTTTTTCCCTCGCGACTTATCAAGTAGCCGGTTATTTAATAATAATAAAAAAGAAACTTACAAAATTTTTAAAGTCACAAATTAAAGCGTCAGGATAGGTAAAAAATTGCCCACGAAAAATAAAGTTTTATTTTAAAAAATTAAAAGTTTTGTTGTTTTTACAATTTACACCAATACCCACAAAACAATTCAACGAATAAAAACTTTTGTAACATTGTTGTCAGATTAATTTTCTTTCGCTGTTTTTTTAATAGTTTTTTCTTTCTCTCTTTATTAAAATTTACTCCTGCTGATCCTTAATGAAATAAAAAAGAATCTATTTTTGCAACAGCACGTTAAATATGGTTAAAATAAAAATAATTTGCTAAGGTCGTCATATTATAAAAATCTCTTGTTAAATTATGCATAAAAAATTCATTAATTTTTGCATGTAGTCAATTTTTTTTTTTTTTGCGAATGAAAATAAATTTTTCATTTTTAGCCTTAAAATCTTAATATTTAATGAGATTCATATCAAAGTTTGCTATAAGTTATAAAATAAGTTGCAATTTTTTTTTAATACATGACTGAGGACTGAGGATAAGATTAAAAGAAAATTTGTTCGACAAGTTATGTGAATTTTTCTCCCAGAGTAGCAAGGCGATTTTAAATGGTTCCAATGGTAAAATATCACATAAAGTTATTGGACAAAATTATTTTTCATAATATTAAAATAAAGTTTTGAGTAAATTTACGTCGTTATACACTACAGAAAATTTATTAGATTGGTTTCTAGAGAAATGACACAAAAAAAAAAAATTATATTTTTGAATTTCAGTGTTGACCATCAATTATTTTTGCAAAAATAAATTTTTAATCTTATTTACAAGTTTTATATTTGCTTAAGCATATTATTTTTCATTTATAAACTATAATTTTTATGAAATGAAAGCAAAGCATTTATTTTTGGCCGATTTTATTTCGAAAATGCTTATAAATGTGCAATTTTTAAAATTTTTAGTAAAATTCTAGTTCATCTCTTGTTTAATCTAAATAATTAAGGTCATATTGAAGAAATATACTTCTTGCAACTTAAGTAAGTAAGTACGCTAATTTATTTCTTAAATTATATCTTCTTTATACTTAACCTAATAATTTTTCTTGCTTCTCTTACAAAAGATTTTTGTATATTTTCTTTTTTTTTGTTAAAAACTTTTTTTAATTAACCAATTATTTATTATCTCCCCTTAAAAAACCAGAAAACTGTCAACAAACTGAATTATTTTTTATTTGTTTTTTTGTAAATTTAAGCGTTATATAATCAGCTTTAAAACAATACAAGTTTCAGACTACTTCCTTTTTTCATTTTTTTTTTGTTTGCAAGAAAGTTACATACCTACTTAAAACGGAAAATAAAAATATTGAAAGGAGATGGGTTCATAATCTTAATTAACGCTCTCTGTTACTAAATTTTTTTTACTTTTAATTATTTTTGTATGTGGGTATCTAGAATACCAGATTCATTATGTGCCGCTATGGAAGAGAAATTCGCCATACAATTTTGCATTTTACTACAAAAATTTTTTTATTTCTTTATTCATTCTTACATTTTGTTATCTATCTTGTATAATTTAAAGCTAATTAGGGACAATATAGCGAGAAAACAAAATATAAGATGAGAAGAAAAAGGTAGTAAAAATGGCGGAAGTATAAATAAGAGAAAGAAGGAGAAGAAAACAGAACGAAAACAAAGCAATTTTTTTGTTATAACAAAAATTTTTATCTTCTTATTCTGTTGATTTTTTTTTTCCTTTTATTTTGAATAATTTGATAACCAATTTTAAATTAGAAGAATAATAAAAAAAATTCCAATAATCCTGTAAAATTTGTTTATAATTTTTGACAATTATTATAACTTCTTTACAAAAAAAAAAGAAAAAACTTCAAGCTGAAGTGGAAAATATCAAAATTTAAAATGAGGAGTTCTTATTTAAAATCCAAAACCACATGTATTGCTCTTAAAAATTTCAATTTATATTTTAAACTCAAAGATTGCAGGGATCGTAAAACGATTAATATGAATTTATATCAATAAAATTTTCAGTTCATTACCAATAATTTTGAACGTATCGGAATATATATAACTATAATGATTTAAAAAATATGAGATTGTTATTGGTTTGCGCCCCAAAGATATGCAATTTTTTATATTTTTAAGAATTCAATAATAAAACTTACAATATTTATTCGATATTGTGATTGTGCATATCATGTACTTCAATAAAATTTAATTTATACTTAATTTCATTATCAATATATTTTTCATAACGTCACAAATTTAATGATGGCTAATTAAAACAAAATTCATAGATATTCAAATTTAAATTTTTTCCATTTCTACGGAACTTTTACCAAAAACAAAAAATTCTAAAAAAAAAACAAAAATTGGATAATTTCCAATTCAATGTGACAGAGAAATTTGTCAGTAACATAAAATAAGTTTTCATAATTTACATAATATTATGTCAGAAAAAAAAAAAGAAAAATAAAAATGGGAGACAACACAATAAAAATGTTTTGCATTTATTGCGACAAAATTGAATTGAATTTGCTCAATTTTGTTTATTTATTTTAACTTGGTAAATAAAATTATATATATATGCATACATATTTATATTAATATATATAATTGGTAAAATTTATACTCATGTACAATTATAAGATGTGCATGTATATGTGCCATTTATTTTAAACCAATAAAAAATTAAATGGAATGTAATCAAGTTGGTTTCGAATTTTAAAAATTTCATAAGTAAGAAAAATACATTCTTTCAAAGTGTTTTAACAAAAATTTGCGGGTTTAAGAACAAAATTTATTAATTTTTTTTAGTTAACTACAAGCCAATTACGATTTTAATGTTAAAAAAGCAGAACCAAATCATTTTAAAGTAAAAAAGAATGACAAAAAATCCCTTTCACTTCGAAATTATTGTTAAATTTTAACTTTTATTATACCTTTAGGTTAGGTTAGGTTGCACGACTACCCGAAGGGTACATTTACTCCACCAGGGCCCGTTGTGGTGCCGCAGGATCCTTTATACCTTTACTCACTTAATATTATATTAATATAATATTAAATAAGTTGATTGTCTTAATAATTTTAAAATTGTATATTGATCACTCTAAATAGTTCAGATGTAGAAAATTGTAGATTAAAATTAGAACGATTTTTATATTCTGGAGAAAGAAAATAAGTTGTTAATACTTGCTTTGTAATAAAATACGAGATTTTATTAAATTCACTTTTAAAGTACCTATATGCTCTAAAACTTTAAATTTAATTTTAAAAGTTTCATAATTTTTCTAAAACTTTTTTTCTATTATACTGATACATGTACGTATATATAAGTTTTCGATCTATTTGTGTTTATAATTATAAAATATATATACACGTTATATGTATATATGTGTGTGCATTATATGATAAATAATATTAAAATAGTTGTATGTATATATGCAATTAATAGTAAGAAAAAATATGTTATACTGTTATAATGTTATATTGTATAGGGTACATACCTATGCATCTGATATATTTTAAAAAATTTTACTTAATTAATTATTTCTTAAAAACCAAGAATTATATAATAAAAATAAATATTATTATGAGAAAATCTTAAAAGTGAATAAACTTTACTTCATACACAACTGAAGTAC